GTACTTTTTCAGCTCAAAAAACCAACCAGAAAGACTAAAACTACGTCGTTTTTGAGCTGATGGGTGAAGAATTCGAGAGGAAGCGGATTGAAGTTAAGGCTATGGAAGCTTTGGGTTGTGGGTTTGATTTTGCTAGCGATTTCAGGTTGAAGTTCGTAAAAAGATGTCCAAACGGGGGTAGATTGGTAATTTTGGATGAGAGTAATAGACGGAACGTCGTCATCCCCGGCGGCGTTACAATTCCCGATGTATCTGAAAATATCCGATGTGATAAAGGGGACCACATTCGTTTCAAGTCTGATGTTCTCGAATTTAATCAGGTTTCCATTTTTACCCTCCCTTTTAATGATTATTTACTTGGTTTAATTTTTTTTGTTTGTTTGATTGTATGTATAATTTAGAATCATGAAGTTGTTATGTGAATGAATTTTGTAGTTTTGATTGAATTTTTAGTTAAAGTTCAAATTTTTAGATGAAGTTCTAAAGTTTTGTGTTTGTATTTAATAAAGTTCAATTTTTTAGACAAATTTTATGAATTTGGTTCTAGTTAATTAAGATGAAATTAACTACTCATAAAATTGACTTAACGAGTGGTAAAAGACGATAAGTAGCATTAGCTGTTTTCTTTACGTCCGTTCAAGCCTTGGTGGTCAGAGTTAGCTAGTACTTGTGTTGGTGGAAGGTAGGTACTATAACGATTTAGTTGAGGTATATGCAAGCTGTCTTAGCACAACGTGATTATAAAAAAAAAAGTGTAGTAGAAGTTATTCTAATGACCATTGTGAATTGATTGTTAAAAACTGCATAGTATAATTGATTCCAACTTGTTTGGGATTGAGGTGCGGGTATTGTTGTAACTACGTAACTCTTTTGGGGTCTAATTTCTCTTAGATGGCCAATACAAATTAGGTGAAGTCGTTACATCTTACTGATTAGTTTTGTCAAGGTTTTAGAACGATTACTCCTCTCATTCTATTTTATATGATGAACTTTCTCGGTTGGTCTATTTAAAAAAAATGATATCTTTTTATATATCATTGACAAAGTGATCTTTAGAGTTGTATTTTTGTTGAGCGTGTTATTGGCTGTCTCATTAGCTCCAACTTTCCCGTAAATCTTCATTGCAGATGTCAGCATTGCTAAATCAAAAATCATCAATACATGGAAAGGTTCCATCAGGCTATCTAAATGCCATTTTTGATTTAAGCGGAGCCTGGTTGAACGATTCAGCAGATGCTAAATACCTGGCGTTCGATGGTTATTTTGTCTCGTTGTACTATTTGCACCTGACAGCATCCCCATTAGTACTCCATGACCAAGTGAAGAAAGCTGTTCCACCGCATTGGGATCCAGCATCCTTATCCAGGTAGCTTCTCCATTCCACTGTGTACTCTCTTTGCTTAATCGGATGAATTGCCGTTTGTGAGTTCTAACTGACTAAGCATAATTTCTTAAAATATCATTGCAATGCCTTTGAGGAGACTGTTAACTGATGCATTTGTGGATCCCTTTTAGTTTTTGGATTAAGTACTGATGCGTTCAAGGATAGCCGACCCCAGCTTTCTTGAAGCATAGGTGTAATTGTTATTGTACTGATTAATTTAAGGATCTTCAGTTTGTCATTTCAAAATTGACAAAACTCCATGATAAACTTATCTCGGAGTAGTTGACAACAACATACCCAGTGTAATCCCACAACATCAGGGTCCATCGGAAACAACCTCTCTACCTCTACAAGGTAGGGGTAAGGTTCGCACACACTCTCTACCCTCCCCGGACCCCACCCTACTTATGGGATTACACGGGGTATGTTGTTGTTGGTGGATGAGTTTATGCTACTGTATGGTAGTGTTTGGAGCTGCATTTGTGTTTTCATATGGTAGTCTTATTTCATATGATCTCTAATTTGACAATTCTAAGCAGATTTATTCAGGCTTATGGGACACACATAATTGTGGGTATGGGTGTTGGAGGCCAGGACCTACTTTGTGTTAAGCAGAAACCATCTTCAACCGTTCCTCCTGCTGAACTAAAAGCACACTTGGATGATCTCGGAGATTGTCTCTTTTCTGATGAAGCAAGTCCGCTGCCTGAGTGGAAGTCAAAAGAGAGTAAAAAGAAGGTATTTTACACTCTCTAAGCAACGATGACGCCTTAGTCCCAAACAAGCTGGGGGTGTCTATAATATATGAACCCTTACTATTCCATTTTACATTCACTTAAATAGGCACTTGATTTACGTTTGGGTATGTTCTGATATTTTTGCACATAAGTGGGGTCAATCATATCTGAATGGATTTCTATTTCAAATCTATAGGTCCCCGAGGTATTCAATCGCATGTTGCAGTCGCATACCATGCAATTTACTAGCATAACAGAGACATCAAGCAAGGATGTAAGTCACTCTCTGCTTTTTTGTGTTCTGAAATGGAAGAAGTGCTAGACATGATTAGTTATTAACGAATAATGTGGAGCAGGGTCTCACTATTATTTGGTCAAAAAGAGGTGGTGATGTGTTTGCACAAAGCCACTCGAAGTGGCTTCAGACCGTGGCTGCTTACCCTGATGGCATACTCTTCAGACTTGTACCGATTACTTCGCTCCTAACAGGAATACCAGGAAGCGGTTATCTCAGCCATGCGATAAATTTATATCTACGCTGTAAGTATTTCATAGTCGTCTTTTATAGATGAGAAACATATTTTCCATCCATTAATAGTGTATAATCAGATAAAAAGGTCATCACTGCCTCTCTTTTATATATAAAATAAATAGCGTGTTTCCGGTACTGTTGCAGATATTGTTTTAATTGGGTTTTGGGGATTTGTATAGTGTTCCAAAATGTAAAAGAAACCTACGAAATTAGATTAACCTACAACAATATCAAATTTGGTCATGCAAGTCCAAATTAGAGATTTTAAAGATTTCAAGAATTTGCTTTGGCCTAATTTTTGTTAATGAATAATGAATGTTAATGTAGCTGAATACATTTTTGGCTATCATATCTTTATGAGGGTCTAGTGTTTATCATTGCTTTTCATCGTTGACCATTTATTTGCAAACTAGTAGTTCTACTCACTGAGGCTTTATCTACTCTGCAGTATTTTACTGTGACTAAAACAAGGCTATCTTCTGACATGGCAATAATTTAGATTGAAATTTACATAGTGCATATATTCGGAGGCTATTCTTTTTCTTGTCTTGTGATCATTTTTCTTTAACATTCTCTTGAACTCTTCAGCATATTTACTTACCTTGCACAAGAAATAATTATCCATACAGAAGAACGTGAAGAACTTTTTTTCTTAATAAATTCTAGTATCTGGCATATTTCATAAAATGGGCATACTTTTCTTATCTGTCAGTTTTTTCTTCTTCATTTTTCTGTTCAAGAAAGATGACAGTAGTGTTATCCATGATTTTTTTCATCCTCAGATAAGCCTGCTCTAGAGGATTTACAGTGTTTTCTCGAGTTTCAAGTTCCTAGCCAGTGGGCGCCATTGTTCTGTGAGCTGCCTCTTTGCCATCAAAGAAAAGTGGCATCTTGCCCTGCATTGCAGTTCTGTTTATTCGGCCCAAAGCTTTGTGTGAGACCTACCCAGGTACTTCTTTGGTGTTTCTTTCTTAGCAAAAAGACCGCTGCTTTATTACAAAAATAATAAAAGTTGAAACTATATGTGCTTCGTTCCAATGAGATGTTGGTCTGGCCATGGCTTCTAATGCACTGGTATTGATGTTCATGATGGAACCTAATCAATATGTTCTTCTTATATGTAGGTTACAAGTGGTCAAAAACCCGTCATTGGTTTGCGCTTGTATTTAGAAGGGAAGAAATGCAACCAGTTAGCCATACATGTACAGCATCTTTCTAGTTTACCAAACATTATGGCATCCAAGTCTGTAAATAACCCAACCTTATGCAAGCCATGTCAATGGCGAGGCTCCGATGATTATGAATCTAGCGACCAATTCTTAGATCCCGTCAGATGGCCGAGATATTCCAACGTGTGCTCATCTGTAGTTAAGCATGATCCAAGCTGGATGCAGGGCGAAACCAGTGGCGTCTTCGTGGTAACTGGCGCACACCTTGTCAGCAAAGGGAAGTGGCCTAAGACAGTGCTTCACCTGCGTCTACTTTTCACCTATCTTCCCAACTGTACAATACGAAAGACAGAGTGGGCAGCTACACCAGAGGGTACTCATAGGTCAAGTTTCTTAACAAATCTCAGCACAACTTTTACATTCACTCAGCGAACAAAGACAGACGCTGCACCAAAGCAGCTTCCTGCTGCTCTTAACTCAGGTGTATATCCAGACGGACCTCCAGTACCAGTTCGATCAACAAAGATGCTCAAGTATGTGGATACGGCTGAGATTGCACGAGGGCCATACGACACTCCTGGACATTGGTTGGTAACTGCTGCTAAGCTTGTTACAGAAGGTGGGAAGATAGGTTTGCATGTGAAGTTTGCTCTATTAGATTTCTTAAATGAATCATAATTTCTTGTGTGTACATATTCTGGGGTAGCCTTGTCCTTTTCTTTATATCATTTTTATTCAGTTACATTTAGTCTTATCAGCTTCCAATATCTTGATGATATATCATATTGTTTAATTTATCCAAGAAATGGCCAACAATGGGAGGAAAATGTTATAGTATTGTACAGAAGAAATTAGTGGAATGAATGGATTTATTTTTTGTGCTTTCCACCTTTTCAATTGTTTTTTTCAGTTTAGTTCTATGATATTGAGTATCCTTTCCTATTTGATCCCTTTGTATTACATATTAAAAGTTGCGATTGGATCTATTCATTGAAAAGAATCGATCAATACATTCATTTCATATCACCTGGAAAGAAAGATCTTGTTTATTTACAACTTTCTAGATTATGGATCCATACAGAATAATAATTTTATGACTTTATTGTTACAATGGATGAAGTTCAGAGACCATACGTGAAATTAACTCACATTTTGTATATAATGTCTAATAAACTCAATCAACTTACATATGTCCTCTCTTATAGGATACAAAGAATGAATAAGAAACCAAATAATACATATAATCAAAGACAGGGAATGTCAAATCTACATAAATAAGAGTCATAATAAAACCAACAGCTACAACTGCTATAATAAGCCACCAAACATCTTTGTTCAAGAATATATTCTCAAGGTTAAGTGCTTGAAGGCAGGCTACTATTGTAAATGCTGTGGCATAAAAGATTGAAATAATAGCAATTATGATCTTTATAGGCAATGAAATGTAGAAATCATTGCTATAAAATTTGCAAAGAAGAAATGATAAGAGTGTACCCATAGTGAATACTGAACTAAAAAGTGCTGCACCTAAGTAAAACATCAACATCCATAGTTCTTGTTGAACTTTGTCAAGGAGAATAGGTAGGCCAGTTCTCTCTTCAAAACCTCCGGGGACTGTGAAAATCGCGGCAAAGTTGATGGTACAAAGGAGAGTAGAAAGTACTAGTGTAGAATTTGATAGATTTCTAACTGCTGTCTCTGCTTCCTTTCGTACGTGTAAATGGTTTTTCTCAAATATCTCTTCTGCTTTTAAGCCTTCTGAGTTTTTAACGTCCCAAAGGCGCGGATGCATGTTGTATTTTATATACTGTAAGAACAAATGTAAGTAAGAAATTATCAAGACATGATTGATTGTGTATTTGTTGGGAGTTTCATCAAGTGAAAATTAACAAATGTAAGTTTTTAAAGTTAATTTAGGACTTTTGGCCAAGTTAGACCTAGCCCATTTTCATGTTTCACTTTTCCTTACGAAACTATTTGGTTTGATGATGGTTGTATGATGCTAGCTGGTGGTGGATACTAGCGGTGAAGGTAGTTGATGGTGGTGGCTGATGACACAGAGATGGTCGATATTGTAGGTGGTAGTTGTCAACAATAGTCGTTGTGTTGTTGAGCTTGTTGGTAGTATAGGTGATCGACACTGGTGGTTGTGTGGTGGTGGCTGGCGGTGAAGATGGTTGGTACTTGGTGGTAGCAGTAGCCTGGTGATGTAGGTAGTCATCGATGGTGCTAGTATTATGGTGGCTATATAGTGGTGACTAATAGTGGAGGCGACTCGCGATGATAGTGGATATATACTAAACTACTAATTGTAAAATGTCACTTCACAACAAAACCTCTTAATAAGATGTCGTTCAAGATCTTAATGAATCAGACCTATTCAAAACATATCGTAACCGATATTAAAAAAAAAAAAGTTAAAGAAACTTACCTTAAACCAAAGTACTCCCCACATCATCATTAACACAGACATCACACACCATACACTTTCAATATGCTCTGTAGTTGATGTAAAAAATGGTGTCCCAACATTTGCTGCATAATGCAATATTGTATTCCCATTTTCATCAATATCAGCCAACATCCTGTTTTGACTAGCCACTTTTTTGAGCAAATAATCAAACAAAAATCTGTTTTTATGTTCTGCTGCTATATGCAATATGTTCCTCTTTTTTTCATCCAATGTCTCCACAACTTCAGGGTATTTTTGCAAAATTTCCACCACTAACTCATCAATTTTATGTTTTGATGCTTGTATTAGTGGATTTGACACAATGTGATCTGTACTACTATAGCTCCAATCATATTTTTCTAGCAACATTTTTGCTAATATTAGTGCAAGAATATGCTTTTGCTTTGCTTCATCAATAGCTTGTAACCAGGAATTACCTAGAGAAACAAAAATACAATCTAGAAATTCATTTCGACCAATTGAACGTGCAACTTGTAAAGTAATGGTGAGTGGTACCTAATAGAGACTTGGTAAACGACAACCTCTCAACGCAGACAACCTTAGTCCCAGCTTGTGTCTGGTTATCACTAAGTTTTGATTCTTTATATCGCGGTGGAATACCTGCTAACACATAAGAGGGTGAAATTCAGTTACTTTAATGTGACAAACATGTTTCCGCGACTTTAATTAGTATAGTAAATTAAGTAGAGCTTACAAGAATAGATGATGGTTTCAATCATCTGAACAGGAACAGAAGGTGTTTTGCCTATTTCTGCAAATAAGTAGTTGGATCCACTCCTGAATGACAATCTTTTTGTAGCCAACATATCCAAAGCAGTCATACAATCATTATAGCGATCATTAACAAGTTCAGGATACAAATTCACTATATCTATTGCTAGTTCTGCATGACATTAAACAAAAAAATTACTGTATTGCCAAAAACCAAATAAAGAGATAACTCTTGCCCGTTTAATTGACCATACATGGCGCGAATTTGAATTAGTCAGGGCCCTAAAGCGAGTACCGTAAGTCCAATGTAAACTTACCATAACAATCATGGAATATTGTTGCATGAAGGATAGTTTTACCATCATTCCTCTTCATTGTGAGCTTACTAAAATCACAATTTGCCAAAATAGTAAATACATCTTTCTCCCCACTTGCAGCTGCAACATAAAGTGGTGTCTCTCCTAAATTGTTTTGCATATAAACTAAGTCCTTCTCAACTCTCAAAATCCTCTCCACCATATCTTTTTTACCTGTCGTTGAAAACATAATTAAGTAAATACTAGTCTATCAGAGCAGGCAGAGGTCCTAGATTCAAGCGTGCTTGGCTCATAAAAAAGAATCAGGTTCGCACGTGTAACTAAGTAAATAAAAGTGTTATCTCTAACCGTTTAAACTTTTAGATGAGACGATCACATATTTCAATATTACCAAATCTAGCAGCTTCGTGCAACGGTGTATCTCCACTATTGTTCCTAGTTTCGAGATCTTTAACACTCAAATTAGGTTCAAGAATATCGAAACCAGCCACATTGCCACTAACAGCAAGAAAGTGAAGGATGGTGTCACCCCGATTATCAATCGGGGAGACACCTTCTTCTTTCCAAAAATCGCGTAAAACGTGGAGAGGTTGCAGTACTCCTGATGATGATGATGATGCAGCTTTGTAAGCTGCTGATCTACATCTTGCTTTAGTACTGAAGCTGTTCTGCATTTTGCTTTGTTTATTTTTGGTTTTTTTTGTATTCTTTTGAGTATATTTTTTGATGAATGAGATTTTATTCAGCAAAAGTTCTCAAGGCTTGGTTACTAATTGGAATAACAAAAGGAAAAAGCTATATACACTCACTTGTCTTTGATTGCTTTCTGATTTAAATTATATTTCTTTGTGGAAATTTTACAAAAACAATACTACTTAATAACAACTTTATTCATTATATTCCTTTATTTTTGTCCATGATGATTCTTATTATTACTTCATATCCAAGGAATGAAAAATTCTACACTGTATAATTTCACTTTTCTTGCCAAACATATAGGGTACTACTTTGATAAATAGTGATGACTAATTGTTGTTCGAGTAACTTCATCTTTTTGAGAACATGACCCTAGATAGGAAGGTATGGAGGTCGAGAATTAATGTAGAAAGTTTGTAAATAGCTAGCCGCCGAGTGTGGTCTCCTGTTAGGTGGGAGAGGCAGGGGCTAGCTCCATATCCTCTTTCCCTTATTAATTAGTACATAGTTGATAGTAGTATTCTGTAATCACGTAGTTTCTTATTCTTCAATATGTTTTACTTGCTTCATTTTGCTTTGTATCTTGATATTTTGGTGTCATTTTTTTTCTTCTTACAATCATTCTTCGATGAACTTCTCTTTTCAGCCAAGGATCTATCGGAAATAGCTTCTCAACTCCATAAGGATTTACATACATTTTATCCTCCACATACCTCACTTATTGAATTACATTGAATATGTTATAGCTATTGTTGACACCCAATTTTGGACCTCCACAATATAGATTAATCATCGAGCTTCTTCAATTTTAAACGATTTAAAATAATTAGTTTTATAAAGTTTCAAAAATAGTTTGCAAGTTATTTTAAATAGTTTTGTCACTTTTTATAATTTTTTAAATAATATATATGTTTTAGATAAATATGTATATAATTAGTATATTTTTACAAATATTCGAAAATCGTCTCAAAAGATTTTAATTTTTTGGTTAATTGGTTTAGTTAGTTAATACTTATATTTTTGAGTTATTAATTAATAATTAAATTAATTGTTAAGATGAAGAAATTCATTAATTAATTGATCTTATTTAATATCTAGCCGAATTCTCTAAAATTAACTCAATATAGCTACATTCTAAACTTTCAATGGCTACGATTGCAAGCCTAACCAATTTTTATTTGGCCCAATTTCGTTCATTCCAATTGAATCCCGGCAGCCCATTAACAAAACAATTGAGCAGCCCACTCCATAATACCAAAGAAACCCATTACAACCCCTTTCTTCTTCACGCGAAGAAGGTGACCCGAATCGCGAAAATCCATCTCCGTACAAGGACCGTTGTTGAATTTTCCAATCTTGCATCTCCTTCGTCCTTCACCAAGGAATCGGACGACTCTCCTCTCTTTCCCGTTACAATTCCAGCTTTCAATCAATTCGAATTTATTCAGTCCTCCTATATAAACCTCCTCTTTGCCTGGGAGAAAGATATAGATTTTGGAGAGGCAGAAAATATACAGAGAAGGATATATAGATTTAGATATCCAAAAGTTAGGAGCTGAAGCTTTAGGAGTCTGCTGGTTTGGAATTCGATTTCTAGAGTTCGCTGCAGGTAACAACCTTAGCTTCATCTCGTTTTGGTTGCTCTTCTTCGTCGCTGGGTTGAATAATGGTGTTATCTTCTCTAAATACTAGATTTTATTCCTGTTACCAGGTTCGGAATTTGTTAAGCACTTTGAATGCTCTTGCTTCTCCAGTGGGCTGCCTGCTTTGTTTTCTGCTAGTGTTATCTGTATTTTTTTTTAGATAAGACTACTTCTCTCAAGTTTTCTTGATGTTTGGAAGTTGGTGTAATGCTTTCATGTCTTTACTTTGCCTTGTTGAAATAACTCTACTGGTTGTTCGATTTAAGCATCTGGTTGTTGAAATTTGCTTTGAAGAATGCATCTTGGGAAATTTAAAACCTCAGCTTCATCATTTGGGATCATCTCGTAGTATGAAATTGTTAGCTCACTTTATATGTTGCTAGGATTCATTCATTTCATTTATTCATTCTGGTTAGCTGATTATTTTGTCATGAATGCGTAAAGAGATTCTTGTTAGATTTTTGGTTATCTCTCAACATTTTTCATGATTTTTTTTGTGGAAGTGGCAGATTCGAGTTTGGAGTTTATTGTTTGCTAGCCATCTGTATACTTTCTTCAAGATTTTCTTAACAGAGTTCGAAATATTTGCTCTTGGTAAGTTTTCTTCCTTTCAAAAAATTCCAGAAGTAAGTATTCTAGGTCAGATTTTTGAGCTTGTTTACATAATGGGTGTTTCATGATTTTTCATTTAGAGTATTTGTGTATTGTGGCTGTAATTTTATTAGCCTCATATGTTACTCATTTCAGGCAACAAAATCTAGATTAGATAATATTTATATTGCTATAGTTAATTTTTTCTATATTAAGTTCAATTTAGTCCATCTTAATGTTCTTTTTTTCTTCTTCGTTGTTCTTTCTGTTTTAAGTTCAGTATTTGGTTTACCATCAAATTAAGTGAAACTTGAACCTATATGTTAGAAAGTCATTATGACCTAATCATTGTCTTTTTTATTGCTTTATAACTTTCTTGGTATCATTTGCAACCCTGTTAGTTAGTATTTTCAGTTGACATTATACAACTTGCTATGCAACTTTCATTTTGTACTTCTAATAGTGTGAAGATGAGCTATACCAAAATAAAGTCCACAAAAGAGGATGAAAATCTAACAAAAAAGTAACACAATTTAGGAGTAGGGGAAGAGAACATAAAATTAAGTCAACTTTGATTCAATCGATAACTATAGTTAGCCAGTCTAGTGACTGCAATAGACAACTAGTACCACAAGCAATTAGCTTGAGCATCTTCTAGGGAAGAAGACACCCCAAAACTTGTCCTCGGATGCATCTATTGAGGTTTATTCAAGTTGTCATTTGATGCCTGATGTACATTTTTTTATTTTGCAGTAGTTTGGTTCAAGTAATTAATTGTTACATGGATGTCTCTATCACTACTCTTTAGCTGCTCTTACTTAGAGAACATAGTCCTATCTCTTTGCTTTCTGGAAAAGATAAGAAAAACACCAGCCACAAAGATGAAAATAGCAATAAGTATCCCACTAAACTGCAATTTTGCATAGCTTAGACCCTTGAATCAACTTCATTCGTTTGACATATGACCACTCCATGCACAGAGCTTTCATGACCGTCAATTGGATATGTTCCTTAGTCAAAACCTTGTAGTTTAAAAAAAAAAATCCTTGACATGAAGTATTTGTATAAGCAAGTTGTGACATTTGAGTGCATTTGTAGGTAATCTCTCGTGATTTTTTTGTAGGCACATCACTATAAAATTTTTAAATATAAAATAGCGAGGCAATATTTTTGGAGCTAATTATAGAAGGATAAACAATGGGGGATTGGATGACTAAGATAACATGATAGTCACAAAGCTTGCCATTAGAAACCCCAATAGTAGTAATCAGGTTAGTTAAGCATAAACTGACTCATATTACATGTAATAATCGGCGAAAAGATAATAATGAGTGTGGAGAACTCATAGGAAATCACAATTAGCTCATTGAAGGCTGACCCATCATCAATATGGTTGAAGGACATTATAGATACCCATTGCGGAGAAATCTTCGCCTTCATTTGGTTCTAGTTGACTTAATATTATTTTCTGTTGTTACAACTTTTCATAAACCAACTCTGTAACCAAATAGTTCATGAAATAAGCTTCTATATTCAGAACCTTCCGAAGAACAAGTATACAAACACCGAGACACTGGTGTGTTGAAGGACATGATAGATACCCATTGCGGAGAAATCGCCTTTCACCTTCATTTGGTTCTAGTTGACTTAATATTATTTTCTGTTGTTTCGACTTTTCATAAACCAACTCTGTAACCAAATAGTTCATGAAATAAGCTTCTATATTCAGAACCTTCCGAAGAACAAGTATACAAACACCGAGACACTGGTGTGTAGACGTTATTTTGAAACCAAATATCGTGTACATGTGTGTAAACTAGGTAGGGTCTTGCTAACTAGTGTCTTTATGGTACTAGCTACTTTGTGCACCCGAGATGCTCTTTTTTTAGAATTTTGTCAAGTTGTAATAGAAGCTATTGTTTCATGATTTGAAAGTTTGTCCAGATCCAGTAACAATCTTTACAGTACTGGTGAACTTCAGTTGACCATAACTAGAAGTTCATCAATTGGGCACAAAAATAGATAACTAGAAGTTCAAATACTCATGACGTTATCATATATAGGGAAATGCACAATAACTCTGTGATCTGCAATTTTTTGACAGTTTCCACATCTAATATCGTCAAATGCCTAAATATCCACACGTGATCTGTAGTGTAATTTTTTTTGTCCTTTGAATCACATATTCATTAACCAAACACCTTGGAAAAGTGGATTTGAGGCTCGACATACATTGCCTCAGTGCACTGCCCTGTAAAAGTTGCGTGTTTGCCCTTTTATCTCATTATAATTTATAGAGTAAAAAATATTTGTTTGAAATATAGATTGGTAACATTCTGATTTTTTTTAGTAAAAATTAGTAAAAAATCTACGTTACAATTTTTTTTAGTACGTAAAATGGTTAATTAAGGTAGGAAATTTTAAGGGGAAAATTATTGATTCATTCACTTGTCGTAGATCTCCATGTCTAATTTTTGTTTCTACAATCTTAAAATGAGCTGTGAAAATTTAGAAATGCCATCACTGATTCATATAGGTCTAAACTCGTCAAAATTTACAAATGTTGAATAATGTCTCTTCTGAAATCTGTTTTGGCAATGCTCTCCCGCTTTGATTTTGGTTCACTGTCGATTTATTTGAAGATGAAACAAGACTGTGTACATAAGAGTTTTCTTCTTGAATTAATAATTGAGTGAATTTGAACATTATGTTGATCTTTTGGTTTCATTTTCTTCAAGGGTTTGTGTCCAAATAATAGGAATCTTTCTTAGAATCCTTGTTAGTCATTATCCTATATGTTTTAATTAGAAAATCGCAAGAAGGAAACTTGTCTTGAAGAATTCATGTTTATTAGAGAACTTTACTGAAACCTATTTGTGCTTTGTCTAGTAAACTGGTCCATCATATTTAGTCTTAAGTCTTCACCATTTCTCCATTCTGTAAACTTGTTGATTGTGTGAGAATATTTGTGTAAATAGATTTCTCATTTCCATTGTAGAAGTCATATATATATATATCTAGGAATCTTGTGTTAACTTTTTGTTTGAGAACTTTCTTTTCGCATTTAAAGAAGATCCCAGATTGTTAGATTGATAATTTTATTTCATGTTTATAAATTTTAAAGAATCATGTATTGTTATGTGTTCCAGGGACATCTGTATCCAGTATTTGATGATTATGTTAAAAAATGGACAATCTTATTAACCAATAATTAGGGTTTGTTCCATATGTGATTTTTTTAATTTCTTGAAGAGCCTCCCCCCCCTCCCCCCCCCCCCCCTCCTCTCTAAGGTTTTGATGTGAATTCATTTTTTTTCCGTCAAATGCCAATTTTCTTGCTAATCTTTTTTTTTCCTTGTTTCACATGAGCAATCGGGAGCATGTACAGTTACGGCATGCTTGACAAACAAAGACAGACTATTGAAAACTATGCACATGTATGTCTTTGTTTGCAAGGACAAAACATGCCGTAACATGTTGTGGATGTTTTTGAACGTATACAATTACGATTTTGCTATTTGAATCTTCAATAAATATTTATTGAATGTCAATTATTTTTAGGGAATTTAATTCATGTGTTTTGGGTGTATTTAAAATTAATAAATAAAAAAATGGAAGAAAATACTTGCAATCAATTCATGACAGATTTTTTCAGATTTTTGAATTTTTTCGGTAAAGGCATACAAACATTGAGATGTTTTCTAAGATGTTTTCTTAAGAAAATAAAAAAAATATGAGATGAGTAATGATGACACCAAAATATTCAATAAAAAATAATAATGAATCATCATATAAAATAAATATTGTAAAGTCATAATGAAAATGATCATAATTTAAAAGTTCATGCTAAAATAAGGTTAATAGATTAGTTATATTACTAAATATTTAAGGAAAATTAAAATTAGATTTGTATTTTAATTGTCTAAACCAATGTAAAAAACTAAAGAATATTCAATATTATTGTCATTCTTAGTGTTGAATTGATTTTCTTTTTGCATTAATTTGAATTTAAAGTTTTTATATTATCAATCTATGAACTTGAAATAATATTATTAAAAGATAAAAACTATGAAATAAGAAATATTTTAAATTATATTTGGTAAATATTTTTATGTATAAAATATAATTTTAAAATTACATATATAATGTCGGGTTGGTTTAGTCTCGAGTTGGTTTTTTTTAGTTAAACCAAACCAACCCGATATAGGGGTTTTTTTTTTCAATACCAACCAAGTCAAACCAAATCACTAGTCGGTTTTTTTTCCGGTTTGACTCGATTTTCGGTTCGATTTTGTACGCCCTAAGCACATGTACAACAAGTGGCTTAAATGGGCCAAAGGCCCCAGAATAAAATCAGGCCCAAGTACTACCCAGACGGACAGAAAATCAAACTTGGGCCCATCTTTTATTACTTGTGTCTCTTATCATTTGCATACTAGTTTTTTTTAGTTTTGAGGTTGTCACAATTCAATTTCCTAAGGATAGCCATTCCTAATTAAATTTAACAAAATTAAGTAAGCGGCCATTTTCTTAGACTTTTAAAAATAAATTTGCAAAATATAATACTTAAGTAGGATCTTAATATTTCCCTTTCCCCTTGAGATTACAATTTTCCAAAACAACAATATTTTAGTTTGTTAAGAGTTGAGTTATGTATTTTTTTAAAAATTTGTTTAATTTGGAAAGAATACAAGTTTCATCAGTTACAGAATAGAGAAAATCATAGGACAAAATATTTTTAAAAGGTAAAAATCTTTCAATTTTTTCATCAGTTACGTATTCAAAAGAGATACAAAAGTGGGTCTCTCTTATCCATTGTTCTTTGAAGAGTCTTTCTCCATTGTTCTTAAAATTTTCAAAACAAGTTTCGAATCAGTAGACTCTTTTTTGAATTCCATCTTTGTCGAATTGACTTCGACAGATTTTTGAAACAATCGTTTTGGATAGCAAAGTCAATTCCACAGATTTTTTTAGAGTTCGATATTGTCGGTGAAAACTCAAAAAACGATTAAGTATTCTTTTTAATTGTTGATTATTTAATTTTTGATATTCGTAAATCTTGACTAGAAAATTGAGTAGAATTTTTTTTTGGATAAATGTAGTGGAATGTTTGTACATTGGAGATTTTGACCTTTTTACGAAATATTGTAGCCATTCTAGGATTATAATGAATGAAAGTGCGTGTTTTTTTTGTTTTTGTAGCTGGTGTTTTTGAATACAACAAATATAGTCCAATACAATTATGTAATGAGTAACTAATTTGGGATACAATCGACAACATATACGTGTTATAATAATTTATTGTTGATTTGTACTGAATACTGGATATAATTGAGTATAGGATACAATTTTGATTTTTGTAGATGGTGTTTTTTAATACAACAAATATATTGTAGCCCAATAATGAATAACTAATTTGGGATACAATCGACAAAATTTATGTGTTATAATAATTTATTGCTGATTTGTAGTGAGTAGTGGATACAATTGAGTACTGAATACAATTTTATGTTTTATGGGGGGAAAACCCTAGAAAGATGGGTAGGTATGTAGTGGGTGAAGCTTTTTCCTTTTTATGGGATAGTGGTGTAGAAATTAATCTAATGTGGAATTGATTTGAGAAATAAAAGGAAAGAAAAATAATTATATTAGGATACAATTATTTTCTAAAATATTGACATTTTTAACAATTATTTTAAATTGTAGATGCATTTAATAATTATGTTAGAGTTGTGACTAGTTTGCTAATTTTCCCTTGTTTATTTTCCCAACTTAATTAAACATATATTTAGCCAAATAGTTAATTGTTGGATAACCGCATGTTAGCGGGCATTTCAGGTGCTTTCAAACTCTTTCCGAAATGCTAATATGAATCCCGAACCCTTTTTCATTTGATATTGTGTAAAGTCTTTTGAAAAATAATAATTTTCTTAATTTTACTCTAAAAATTAAGTGGCGATTCATAAAACCCGTCGTTTCTTTCATTTTAAATAAATCAGCTATAATGATGATAAATTATCCATTAGTTCACTTCATTTCATATTGTTGCACCACTTACAAAAAATTCAGGCAGATGCCACTTAAGTAAAACAATCACTCAATACTCAAAAAAAAAAAGTGTGATAGCAACAATTCAACCTTCTTATTCCTTCAAATAATAAAAAATTTACAACATAGTTGCATGAAATATACATGGTTAAATCAAAACCTTTAACTTACATAACTCCTCTCTTATTGGATATAAATGAATAAGAAACAAAATAATACAAATAATCAAAAATTGGAAATGCTAAATCTATATAAATAAGGGTCATAATAAATCCAACAACTACCATAACTATAATTAGCCACCATACATCTTTGTTCAAAAAAATATTATCAAGATTTAGTGTTTGCACACATGCCAAAACTGAAAATGTTGTGGCATAAAATACTGAAACCATAGCAATTATGACCCTTATAGGCAAAGAAATGTAAAAATCATCACTATGAAATTTGCAAAGAATAAATGATAGCAATGTACCTATTGTGACTACTGAACTTATAAGTGCTGCACCTAAGTAAAATATCAACATCAATAGTTCGCGTTTCAAATTTTGGAGGAGAATTGGTAGGCCAGTTTTCTGATCAAATCCTCCAGGAACTGTGAAAATCGCGGCGAAATTGACTGTGCAGAGGAGAGTAGCAAGTATCAGAGCTGAATTCGCGAGGTTTCTAATCGCGTCCTCTGCTTCTTTTCGTATTTGTAGATGGTTTTTTTCGAATAGTTCTTCTGCTGTTACACCTTTGGAGTTTTTAACGTCCCATAGGCGTGGATGTACGTGGTATTTTACGTGCTGCAAAGATAAAATTAGAAATCACATAATAAAGTAACATAAAATTGTATATATAAACGTGTGTAAAGTAAAGTAAATTAGTATTTAATTCTAACAATCTCCCACTTGGACTAGTAATTCAGAGCTTGAGTAGTTGATTTTGAAGGTAATTGAAGTAGTACTAGACTTATATATATAGAGTTTCCCTACAATAGCAGCTAGCTAACTGATATTGTACGAGGCATTGTATGGTAGGCGTTGTCGCTCCCTGATAGGGTGGTTCGAGTAGGGTAGATAGAAAAATTACACTTTTGCCCTTCAAATAGGCTGGTCGTTAATTTTTGCCCTTAGCAATCGAACTTATGCCTAGTTAAGGATGTAGGACATAACTTATCATAAGTTATTATGATGTGAAAATATAAACTTATGCCCTGCGAAAATGTAGTTTTTCTCGAGAGGCAAAAAATTAAAGACCAACACAACACTGGGGCAAAAGTACCAACTAGATATAGTAACGAGATTCATTGGACAAAGTCCTCACGAGACAAAAGGCGAATTTTAGTAAGGCCAATCATGACATCATAAGACAAGACTTCATGGTTGAATACTCAAATTTAGTTAGTTTTACGTTGACTGTCAGCCTAAACATGAAACCAACAATATGATTGCAACTCACACCGCGTTAAGGAGATCAATCCCTAGCACAACATAAATGCACACAAAAGAGAAAAGAACAGAAAAAAGTACCTTAAACCAAAGAATCCCCCACATCATCATGAACACAGACAATACACACCACACTTCCTCAAAATGCTCTGAACTTGATGTCCTAAATGGTGACCCAACATTTGCTGCATAATGCAATATTGTATTCCCTTCTTCATCAATATCAGCCAACATCCTTTCTATATGAGCCACTTTTTTGACCAAATAATCAAACAAAAATCTATTCTTATGTTCCACTGCTATATGCAATATGTTCCTCTTTTGTTCATCCAATGTCTCAACAACTTCAGGGTAAATTTCCAAAATTTCAACAACTAACTCATTGATTTTGAGATTTGATGCTTGTATTAGTGGATTTGGCACAATGTAATCAGTATTATAGCTCCAATCATAATTTTCCAGCAACATTTTTGCTAATATTAGAGCAAGAACATGGTTTTGCTTTGCTTCATCAATGACTTGTAACCAGAAATTACCTAAAAATACAAGAAATATAATAGTGAGAAAGTAGGGTATTAAGAGTATGACTAATATCTACCGACAATCTAAAGAATTTTTACACTATCAAGTCACTTTTACATGTTATAGCAGGTGACGTGTCTTATTTTCAAAATTACAAATTCCGTTTTTGTAATGGAGAGTTACGCATATAATTTTTACACTATCAAGTTATCTATACATGTTATAGTAGGCATATAATATAATACTATTTTAGCAAATGTAAAAGTGGTACATTCAATTCCAATCATATAATGGATGATTATATGGAGAGCATACCTAACACAAAATTGGTAAATAAAAACCTTTTTCTGCTGACAATTTTGGTGCTAGCTTGTGTATACAAAGGAGGAATACCTGCTCCATCAAATAGTAAATTAAATGTAGGTAATAACCATAGTCAAAATTAGAGAAAGTAAATTTGGACTATTTTTTCCCGAAGCATTTTGACACGGGGAAATACGATGCGATTAACTAATAATAAGTATATGAATGACCTCAAAGTATAACGAGACAAGTAGAGGAATATTAAATGTGAGCTTACAAGAATAGATCATAGTTTCAATCATCTGAACAGGAACAGAAGGTGTCTTCCCAATTTCTTCAAACAAATAATCAGATCCACTCTTGAATGATAATTGCTTTGTAGCCAACACATTCAAAGCACTTATTTTCTCATTATCACGTTGGTTAACAAGTTCAGGATATTGATTCACAATATATATTGCTAGATCTGCTTCACACGGAACAAAATAATAATTAGCTAGTCGATCAATGGATAAAGTTACGGAACAAAATAATAATTAGCTAGTCGATCAATGGATAAAGTTACTAGGTACCTATACTGGTGGAACATAGCAACAATATAATTAAAGATCACAAAATTCAAATTTAATTCAATCCGCTCAATCGCTTGTCAATATAAAACTTACCATAACAATTATGGGCTACTGTTGCATGAAGAACAGTTTTACCATCATTCCTCTTCATAGTTACCTCACTAAAATCACAATTTGCCAGAAGAGTAAATACATCTTTCTCTCCACTTGCCGCGGCTACGTAAAGTGGTGTCTCACCTGCAAAAGCCGAGCCAGGATTTCAACTTTATGTATTGGATTTTAGAATGAGTATACATTCAACAAATTTACTATTTGAGCAAAAGTTACTAAGTCTGTCTGGAAGAACCCGGCCCGTATCTGGGCTTCCAACTCCACCACCTAACTCACCTAAGTTGTTGCGCATAAAAACTAACTCCTTCTCCTTCTTCAAAATCATCTCCACCACATCTTGTTTACCAAATTTTGCAGCTTCATGCAATGGTGTATCTCCATTACTATTCCTAATTTCCAAATCTTTAATGCTCAAATTAGAATCAAGAATCTCGAAACCCGCCAAGTTACCATGGATTGCTAGAAAGTGAAGAATGGTATCACCCCGATTATCCATCGGAGAAACACCTTCTTCTCTCCAAAACTCGCATAAAATTTCCAGAGACCTCCCTTCAGATGCCGCTATGTAAGCTTGTGATCTTCGACTTGCTTTGTCACTCAAGTCCCTCTGCATTTTAATTCTATCTTTTCTTGGGATTCCAAGTTCTTTTTTTGTCATATATATAGTGAACAACACTGCAAGTATATATCCATCACTTTTATATTGTGATGGATATACAAATTAGTTTTATAATTATGGTACAGTACACTAAACTCTCATTATGTGCGGGGTCCAAGAAAGGACCAAACCACACGGATTATACACATTTCTGTAAGAGATTGTTTCCACAGCTCGAACTGTGACCTCCTCATTTCATACATGTAATTTGGAATATTTACTAGTGGATAAGTTGCTCAGGTTTAGTTCTTTGGAATAACAAAAAAGAAAAGCTACTTACCCTACTTACTTATGTAGATGCATTTACTTTATTGATTAAAGTAAATTAATTTGTGGAAAATCTAAAATGAAACGTTGGCTTTTCAGCTTTTTAAAGTTAAATTAACTATTTATATAGCAAAGAGGTAAGGGGCTTCTTCTCATTTTTCCAGATATTTTTCTGTTTTTGTCAAAAAGCCATATCCTAGAGATGGAATTAACAGTATTAATTTCACTTTAATTGTAGTTAAGTACTATTTTTTGATATAGAAAGACGACCAATTGAAGTCATAAAGTGAATGTAGTATGATGTAAGGGCCCAAAGTGATGGTATTTGACTGTCCATAGAGTTTACGAAAAAAAGACACACTTCTTGCACCTATCACGATTCACGAGTATATTTTTGAACTTCTTTATGAAAGACAGACTTCTTACACCTATCAGGAGTATATTTTTGAACTTATGATTTTAAACCTATCATGATATTTTATGACGGTAAAAGCATGTCAAGAAGGTTAAAACAAGAAGTTTAAACTTAATTAATGAATCTGTCTTTCTTTTTAGAAACAGACTAAAAAAAGCAAAAAGTGCCACATAAAATGCAAGCAGCCTTGATCATTGAAACTGTAATCTTCCATTCACTATAGGGGGAGGGAGTCGCATAGTTGGTTGCTCGATCAAAAATATTTACAGCCTCTGCCCAATATATACATATATCATGCATCTGACAGATTTTTTTTGGGTGGACGGCTATTTATGTTAATTTCTCAAAATAATATAAGAAGCTGCTGAGATGAAAAATCCAAGCAAAAGAAAAACCTCCAAAAGTGTTTAGAGGTAACAGAGACCATTGATATCATTGATTTCAATGGAAAAATTCAAAGCAGTTAACTAATATGTGATTGAACTTTATAAATGTCTATAATAACATGAAAGTATGATCTCACCCAGTCCAGCAGATTGTACAATCTGGGTGAGAATATTTATTCATAAATTACTTGTGGAAAACAGCCTCTGACAGAAATGCAAGGTAAGACTCGTACAATAGACTGTTGTGGTTCGACTCCTCTCCGGACCTCGCACATAACAGGAGAGCTTAATGTACCGAGCTGCCCCTTTACTTGTATAGGACTAGTATAAGCTTATTTAATCAACTATGTACACCTCAGAGAGATGCTGAATTTTACAAACACTATTGTGAAGAAGTTCAGTGCAAAATCGAGAACTCACTGGGGTTGAGGTCGCGATTGCACGATGAAAATCTCGTTACCAACCAAACATCCTTCGACATCTTGAGGAGAACCAAACTTGCGTTCTAGGTAGAAACCAACAGCGCCAAGCCTCTGACCAAGCTGACGTCTGAAAATGGGGTCGATTGTTAAAGGTTTCTTGCTATAATCGACAGTCAAGAGAATAACTTCTCCGTCAGCAGGGGAATTGCCACCTACAACCATCTCCTCACTAAAGTTGGCGAATGCCAGTGTGCGCACTGTGTCGTCAAATTTACCACTAGATAGACGCCACGGTGTACCCCTTGTTCCTGAAGCGAGTGTTTCACCGAGTCCAGGTGCAATTTCAGCCTCAATGAAGTTATGATTGTTGTCCGTTGGGCTCAGTGTGTGGAGGACAAAAGATAAATCTGGTGAAAGCATTTCTTGCACTAGCACGGCCATTGTAGCATCTTTCTGGGACACACCAGCAGCTCTGCGGCTCAGTACTGCTCTTCTAGTATACAACGAGGCCCAAACACGGGCTACAGCATGTCCAAACCTTATTGGATCTGAAGGGCTAACATTAGGAATTGAATCATAAAGTCCGGCTGCTGACATCCCCGCCAAGTCCTCGACATTAGCACTTGAACGCACTATTAAACGTGCATTACCGGGAAATACTTCTCCCAAGCTTTCAATGACATCTTGTCCAGGCAATAGAGAAGATATTAACTTCTGGAGATCCTCACAGTGTTTATCAAGTTCACCGCCATCAATTTCAGCTGTTTCTATCTGTTCGACAAGCAATGTGAAGGTCTCCATTAACTTGTTCGTTTTCAATGCCGTTTCCATGGAACCAAATGGAATAACTGCTCCAGCAGGAACGTTAAATGATGCTGGTGCACCTTGGTCACTATAAACTGCAATCAGATAGATCATCAGACCAAAAGAAAAGGCAAAGACATATATTGCACCAATGGGATCCATCATTTATGCTATGATAAGCAAAACGCAAAAATAATGTACCAATCAATGTTGACCAGAATCGAAATTTAACTATGTATAACAAGCATAGGAAATGCAAGGGACCAGATTTCAACTGGAAAAAGGAAAAAAAAAATCAAAATAGAATGGGAGCAAAAACATTTACATGGAACATTCATTTTTAAATAAATCATTGGGGGTTCGTTAAGCAGAACTGACATTTTAGCTACAGAAACTAAGAAGAAAATAATAAGTATGGATGATACTAAGAGAGGGTTGTCCTGCAAAGAACCAAGACTACCTTTAGTAGAAGAAGTGGCCAGTGAAGCTAATTGAGCACAAGAAGCAGCTTTTGCACCAGAGGTTTGTATATCTGCATCAACAAGAGGAATAACACCTCTGGTAGGTCCAACCTGCAAGTAGAACTTTGGCAGCTCGATAAGCAAATGATAGAAAAAGAAAGAACAAAGAGAAAGCAAAGTGAGAAAAGAGGGGTGGAACTGAACTAAAGCAGAACATATTTGCACAAAAAGGTTATTTGCAAGGAATCAATTATTTACCTCTTTAACTTGAGATGATTTGACGGCAATTGAGGAAGCACTGCTGTCTGATGAGGTTGCACCTGCAGAAGAAGTATTACTTGAAGGAAGTTTATTTGGAGAAACACCACCCGCCTTCTCTGATGAAGAAGCAGTTAACTTTACACCAGTTGATGATGCTTCTAACCTGAAAAAACAAAGGGAAAAACCAAAGAAAATTAAGGAAAAAATAAAGAAACTACTAAAGCATTATAATCATCACTGAGTTAAAAGGTTTGAAGAATATAACCTCACATATTTTCCTAGTAGTTGTCTTACATCAGAAACTTTGTCATCGTCGTCGCAGGTCACAAAAACTACCTTTTCCTGCAACAAAAGTATGTAACACTTCTATAACTAACACTCAGATAAAAGAAAGGCTATAATTAACTTTTGGACAACAACAACATACCCAGTGAAATCCCACAAGTAGGGTCCAGAGAGGGTAGAATGTACACAGACCTTACCCCTACCTTGTGGAGGTAGGGAGGTTGTTTCCTAAGGACCCTCAGCATAGCAAATCAAAGTAGGTATGAAAAGTAAAAACGACAGTTAAGAAGACATAGTAACTAATAAGGAGATAATAACAACAAAAATAGTGTGATAACTGAAACACAATAAAAAACACTCCAATACCTACTAACCTTCTATCCTAATCCGCGATAGATAACAAAAACAAGACACTATAATTAACTTTTGGACATGGAGCCAAAATTTGGAACTCGCCTGCCGGGCCCTAACACCTAGATGAGATAAATGTGGTAGCTCCTGTAGAAGTACAACTCCAGATATGTTACTCCCTGCTGCAGTCACCTGAAAGATGGTCAACAACGCCATTCAGTATCTTTCTCTGAGTAATACATAAGTTTCTAATACCTTAGGATTCTGCAGAAGCAACATAGAGATGAGAAGTGCTAGCAACCTCTTCATCTCCATCAGCTTTGTTCACTACAAGAATAACAGGTCCTGTTGCCGATGATGGTAGAGTCCCGGGGATAATTCTATCCACCTGAAATGTGAGAAATCAGCCAACACATCAGCATTAAACTCGTTTTACCTTGGATAAAATTTCAAAAAGAGAAGATGCAATTCACAACATAGAGTTAAGGTCAAAACATAGAACTAGTACTGAACTGGATAGAAGAAATTACACTGCAAGCATTCAGATAAACCTAAGTGCTTCGTTGCTTGATCAGAATGAATTCTTCTAGACTCTTTTGTGACAAAAAATCTTACTTCTAGCAAATAAACCAAATCTTTTTTATAACCCTGGGCCAGCTTGCGCTCACATTTCGAGAAAATTAAACAATTGTTGTGCAAATACCAGCTAGAGCTCTAAATATATAAATAAATTGCTGGAATAAGAGATTGACAATATAATATTTACCTGTATTAGCTCTCCAAAAGCATCTCCTGGAACGAGAACATCCCATCCCGAAGACCCAATTGTCCTTCTAACAGCCTTCAAAAGTAGTGTAGCAAGCTTCGAAACCTGAAAAACCACACTACAAATTGCATGTATTTTACAAAGTTAGGCACTTTGTTAACTTATAGTAACATCTTCTATCAGACAGAGAAATAAGAAGAAAAAGATTGGAGCAACTCTATTCAGAACAATAAAATATTTGTCCAATCATACCCTGCTCGAATTTCAGCTTCAGTGAATGTTCTGACAGTATTTTCAGGAATCCCCAAAGATTTTCCTAAAATCTGCAAGAACATATAAACTCAGTTCAAATCCCAATTTATATATCTCTTAACTAACAAGCATGTCAATGACACTGAATAAAATAAGGGCTGATATAGGAAAACCAATTTCCTTCCAACTGACTTAGCTAATCCATATCATCATGTGGTCCAAATGTAACTGTCCAATTTGGATAGCTTACAGGCATGCCACATATAATGGAGTTTTTAAAAATAA